TCATCCAAATAAAAACACTGGGAAGCGATTCAATTCAATTATGCCTTATTTTCCATGGCAAGGCTCAGGCCATCAGGCCTGCTCTCCTGCCTGACCCAGCAAATGTCCCTATGCTCCTTGCATGGGCGATTTGAATTTTGTTTAGAGGCTTCTTTGAGGCTTGAGAATCATTCAAGTGCAGTATCTACAACCTAAGACAGACAGCTGTACTTCCCCACCAAAGGCAGGCATCCAAAGAATTATTTCACCCTTAAAAATTCACGAATTCTAACAAGTTTGAATCTGCGAATTTGGGTATAACAGTCCTATATGCTAAATGTTGCACCACCAAAGCACCAATTCAGTTGTATATCACATTTTCCATCTACGTTGTTATTATCAACATGACATTTCAGTACTTATAAGAAGAGGTGCATTTAATTTAGCATAACATAGCTTCTCAAGGTCCAATTCACTAACCAAGCATAGAATCAATTTCAAACCTACCATAGATTTTGCTAACAAAAATACTACATAGGAATAATAGCAAATTTCCACATCTTGTTTCAGAAGTATTAAAGACAAAAACCGAATAAAACTATGAATTCTGTGATTGAAAGTCACCAGTTTATGACCATATATAAACAATATATTGGATAAATTTAAATAAAGCCCCTCAATTATGTTTCTGACCCCGCCTCCCCATGTCCAAGTGGTCATGCAATGGTTGCGGGTGTTGTTGTTCTGATATGAATAGGCACCAGGAGAAATGTGACAAGGCCCAGCGGTCAAACATGAGAATATATATTAAATTGATTGCAGGTCTTATTAAGTATGCATATTAAGTATTGTTTTTAACATTATGTTATAATTTTTCCTGAGTGTCATAGTATAAACCTGAATATGAGAACAAATAATTTCTGAAATGTTTAGGTAATAATAATGTACATAGTTAAAAAATCTGAAATATACAATTGAATTGCTATCTCGTGTTTTTAACTGGTTTATAAATCTCATCCATTCTATCTTAAAAAAGTGGACTAATAACTATAAAATATTTCATTGAATGACTCAGTAAATTCATAATAAACCAACATAGTACTAGGGAACCCTCCAATATTTTTTCTCTCAGAATTTTTAGACTAGCTTTCCACAGAATTACATAAATTTCTTTATACTGCTTATTAAAAAGGTAAACTGAAGAAATATGTAAGATTTATCTTCCCTTTCTTTTTTTAGGCACATATTCATCATTATACCAAAGTAGATGGATTTGAAATTGCATCTTTCTTTGAGAGTTTAGAGCAACTTCAAGATATCGCAGAAGCTTACAAAGGACTTGAAACTCATCAACCAGTAATTCCTCATAGGTTTAAAGTTCTTTAAGTTTTGTATAATTTTTTTTGCACATATTTGTTCTTTTTTTTACAAATATTTTTCTTTGTATTTAAAAAATACCTTTCGTTACTATATATTGAATGTATTTTTGCTGTTGATTAAATTATTAATTTTTTTACAAATTTGCAATTATTTTTCCAAGTTTTTTATTTTTAATAATGTAAGCATGTGAGAAATGATGTTATTTTGATTTTCCTAAGTAGAAATAAAAATGTGAATTTTGTATTTTAGAAAACTAAATTCATCATTAATACATTTAAAATAATGACTTAATAAATCTCAATATAAACATAACATCATTAAAAGATATTTATAATAATTCATAAGAAACTCACAAATGAGGGCTAACTTAAAGCTCCCCTAAAATGTATGTCATAAACCCAAGCTTAACACAGGCTCTTTTGCAAAAGTAAATGGTGTATGTGCCAAAACTACTTGGTAAATTAATATTGTAGATACTTCATTATTGTGGTTTCCAGAATGGCAGACCGAGTTTCTCTTTTCAGTTGTATTGTCTACCATCAGAAGGAAATTTTATCTCTTTTTTTTTTTTTATTTATTTTTATATATATCAAAAAAATTTATCAGATCATATCAATATTTTTTGGCCATAAACATCTGCATCTCACTGCTAAATAATTAAGAGTAACTTTATCACCCTGATTCTTCATCATCATCGTGAACTGACCAAAAATTAGGCTTTACAGCCTGTTTCTATTGGTTCTTAATTTATTAATTACTTATTAATTTTCTGCCTTACTTACAGGGCAATTATTACTATGCTCTTTGTCTTTTGAATGAATTATGAGTCCTTTATTTAATGGTCTTTAATAAAAAAAACTGATTATCTTCCAATTAAAAGAAATAGCTGACATTTGTTTTAAGTTGATATCTCAGTCAAATCTTTATTGTTCTAATCAGTACATTATTAATAAATCATATCAAACATCTTGAAAAGATATATTTTATTTTATTTATTTCATAATTAAATGAACTACCAGATATCTATCTTTTGCTGGATGATACAAGTATACATAACAGATTTCGCTCGGTCATTCATCTCACTGTCAAACATGTAGGAATATCTAATATCCCCTTACAAAGTTTCCATGTATGCACTGCCTTTTGTTTTTGTAATATTTCCTGAGAAATCAGGAGGTCTTTGCCGTATGGGATTGTATAGGCTAATAATGTATGCATTTCAGGAACAAATATTACAATGAGGCTGAAAAACGTTTTTTGAGTTTGAATTAATTTTTAAATATTAATACATTATAGTTGCAACTATCTCTTATATGCATAATCTTCTGGATAATTGGAGGGGTTAGCGGCCACATTATAGCCACATTATAGAAAATGGAGAAATATCAAGTTAAAGTTGCATAGTTTTTGTTAAAAATAGTTTTAAAGAAAAAAATAGTATCCAACCAGCAATGTATATAGATAACAAATAGTCTCAATAACTTATTTTTCATTTTTGGGAGGTTTAGACCATTTTAAAGAAGAAAGCAGAGATTAGTTTTGTGTAGAAAAAGATTTTGACATATCAGTTTTCAGTTTCCATAAAGTATTGTGGTTGGAGTACACATCAAACTCAAAAATTTGAAGAGCACAAAATAACATACTGATACAAAGCTTAATTTGAAGAGAAACAATATATTTCTTGAGAAGTATAGGGAATAGCCCACGATCTTCTGAAATCATTCCTCAGAGAGTGCCAACAATGTACAGAAAAACTGAATTTAGACCTTAATGACACCATATACAGATATAAATCAATAAAAGTACAGTACATCTGAATACTTTAGCGATCATTGCTAGACCCATTCTTTAACATCAATACCTTTCACTCTCCCCAAGACAACAGACTCATAATGAATTCCACACTTGTGAACCAACATTGTGGCTCTTAACTACAGAGTATAATATGATTGTTATAAATGACGTTTTGATTGTTCAAAGAATTGATTGTCTCAGCTGAGAATTGAAACAGAATCTTCCAGTATACTTTGCTATTGCCCCAACCACTTGAGTTACCAAGACAGTCAAATCTTTGAACAGCCTGTAGGGAATAAGATGATAATAATGCTCCATGATAATTAGGTAATATGTTTCACCCCCTAGTCAAAGTATACCGATTATGTGGAAAGATGGTTCCCATTTCACATATGGTAATCAACATTGTGACCCATTAACTACAGAGCACAATTATTATTAAACGATATTCTGACCTCTGAAGGCTGCTTAAAGATTTTGAAAAACAACGCTAATCAGCTAAAGGGAAATCAGGAACTTAACGACGAAGGAAGGTAAAGGGTCAATTAAAAGGCAGTGGCATGCTAAGGTCCACGCGGAAAACTAAATAAGTTTCAAGCGGAAGGGTGGTACAATCCAAACGAAAATGCTAAGGAAACGGTGGTGTTTCTTGTGATGGTGAGCATTGTCGTATCAGGAGACGAGCAATTGCAAGAAGAAAACGAGGGGGAGGCGAAGAATTCTATGAGAAGTTGTTGAAGATTTAGAAATAAATAGTTAAGTTACCGAGTCGGAAGTTAAGGGTCGTCATGGCTAACGAGAGGGCGGCGAGCTACGGTAGAAGAAACTTTTTTTTTTTAATTTGCGTCAATACGCAACGCGTCTCCAAGCCCCGGGAGGGGGGGGGCGCTAAACGCGTTGCGCTTTCGGAGTAATCCTCCATTAATATTTCTATGTCACGTCTCGTCGCAGTCAGTAGCGAGAGGAGCGTAGAGTAGCATCTCCGCGAATGCGCCGCCTACGAGCGCTTCGTACCTGCGTCCCTACTCAGCGGCCAGAATTGGGAAGAAATTAGAATTGGGGTAAGATTTAGGACACTTCACAGGGGTTGGACTAGCTTCTGTGATCCATGCAAACTCGTTTTGTCGTAATAAATTTCACATGAGATTCAACGGGATCTCTGTAGTGACAGGCAAGCGACTTCGCCACTGAGCCACGAGCCACCTTTCAAATGAAAAAGGACGTGCGTGTTGCCATGAACGAAGAAGACTGTCTGGGAAGGAGAGAAAGCTGTTATAGGAGTATTTATGGAGGTTTATGTAAAATTAAAAGAATTGGTGGAAGAAGAAAATTTTGAGAGAGTTGAAGGATTCAAGGCCGTATGCCAAAGAAGTACTATGAATCGACCCTACAGAGCGCATAAAGAGGATAATAGTAATAATGGATTGAAGCATCGGAAACCCTTGCGTCAGTACTTCGTCGTAATAATTGTTGAAAAAATGGAGGCATTATGTTATGTTTGAGATGAAAAAGTTGAACGAAACTTACAAGTTCTATTATGAGGCACCACCCAATGTTAGCTTAACTGTGCATTGTTTGGCCTTTACTACGAAAAGAAGCCATACCGTTCCACCAAAAGTTACAAACCAAAATAAAATTAAAAACGCAATACACTTGTGTTTCGAACAAGAAGCAAACAACATATCACTCAATCATTGAGTTCATGTCTTCTCAGAACAAGAAACATTCTATATTAGATGAAGTGATATTGAACCTCATACAATGTTGTCAAAACTGATAAACTATTTCCTCGACTGCTCGCGTAGACGGCAAAACACGTCAATATGCTGAATACTTACTCTGTATACCTAGGCGATTTTTTTTGTTCTACCTCTTATGTACGACAGATAACAGTAATATTTAAATATGTGGTTTATTAAAGTTTTGGAAATATAGTCGATTAAATGAGGAATCGACCCAGAAAGTCGATCAAGTGGGGGATCGACCGAGCAAGTCGATCAAGTGGGTGATCGACCCAGCAAGTCGATCAAGTGG